GAAAACTTGATCACATTTACGTCATTAGCTGTTTTAGATTATGATTTTAATTAAACATCAAAATAAGGCACACATTTCTTTAACATGTGAGGTTATGGTGTTGTTTTGAAAGACTATTTTTATAAGTTTATAAAAAAAAGTTCATATACGCTCAGAACTATGTCGTATGCTTTTTTTAATCTGTGGATGAATAAATTAACGTGTTTTGTTTTGTTTTTTTTTTACTGAAATAACAGTCAACACTTCGCCACCTTTGCTTTATGTAAGTACTTATATTTTAAAAAATAATCAGCAACTAGTCATCTTTAATTATACAAAATGGACTTTTTGGCGGGATCGGGAAGCGTCACTTTAGCAGTTTTGTTTTTCTTGTTAAAAATTGTGTTGTGGCGGATATTAGTGTCTAATAATGGTGGATTATTAATCACTAAGTGTTCGGGAACATGCACAAGTGTTGGCAAGTGAAACAAAATAGCGGAAAGTGTCTAAAATAGGGAACGTCGAATCCCTCAAGAAGTCCACGGGGAGGTTCCAGTAAATCTCCACAATTGACTTGACTGCCACTTACTTTGAGTTGACTTATTACTTTGACCACGAGTGCTATAGTATTTGTAAACCTACATTTAACACTTGACATTGGCTAAATGCACAAACCGTGCGAAGCCATTTAGAAAAAAAAAATATTGAAAACACCACAGCACAGAACAGAATTGCGGGAAATCACAATTGTAAAAAAAGAGTGCTTTAACGGGCGGTCTTATCGCTAAAAGCGATTTCTTCAGACCACCTTTGGATGGAGAGGATTGAAATAAAGCTGGAGTCGGCGGTGTCAGTAAAAGAAACAAGGGTTATAAACGAATGACTTATATTTTTTAAAATATGGAATTATACACATAGTTTCTCAAATAATAAAATTACTTTAACAATAGCCTCTTTTACTTTAACAATTAGATAGTTCGTAATAAGAAGTCACCTTCACCTTATGGCTCAATTACATTTAGTCGCTAGCCCGTATTGGGGCACACGAAAAACGTCACTCTAATTCGGGCACCCGAAGCAATATTTACACTAGCAACTTCACTGTCCAATGAGTCACATGTGACTCATTGGACACTTTTGGAATAAGTTCAGGAGTCAGGAGTGACTCATTTTTCGATACTTTTTGGCAAGATTTTTCGTCATGAGCGTAGCTCAATAGACTTATAAAATTACGTGAACGTATAGCAAAAACCCTAAACTTTCATGTACAAAAATTTGCTTTCGCAATAGGTTTTTATTTCTTTTGTTATGAACAAATAAAAACATGAAACAAAACCGAAGAAAAAAAAACATGGACGTGGAGAAGTCTGAAATTGTATTGTATGGGGACAGTGAAGTTGCTAGAATACAGGCTGGAAGACGGTGTCGGGAAAACAGAACGAAATAATAATAATAATATAATATTATAATTTAATATTTATAATATTTCCAACACTCACACCAATTAGCCTAGCCCCAAAGTAAGCACTGTAAAGGCTTGTGTTATGGGATACTAGGGTAACGGATAGAATACATATATGGTACATATATAAGTATATTTATATGAAATACATATTATACATCCATGACTGGAGTACATTTGTACTCCAGCCATGCTCGTATTCATCACACAAACATCTGCCCCCACCGGGATTTGAACCCGGGACCTCTCGAGTCGGCGACGCCATGAAACCCGGCGTATAAACCACTCGGCTACGGAGGTCGTCGAAATCTACCCGATTACGGGCGTACTTTACCCTTAGTACGAGTTTTACAATTACGAATACTATGATAGTTTTCGAGAGATCGCGCTCTTTGATTTTATTGTTTTCGTTTCAATACAAATAAACAGTGTTTAAATTCTATCATTAAATCATTTGTGTCTTCTTGAATTTTAAGTATATTTGGACACTTTTCACCAAAATGGACATAGAAACATCATTTACAATTACGAAAACTATTATAGTTTTCGTGAGACCAAACTCGTACTAAGGGTACAGGACTCCGTTTATTTACACTTAGTTGAATACCCGAATTCCATCGGCAGTCGTATTCTGGCTAACGACCAAGTATAATTGGGCCTTTACAGAAAATCATAGTGAAATAACAACTTAGGTTTATCAACATGCATGGTACATGGCACCGACTCCAAATGTTAATTTAACTTTAATCTACTTAAGAGATAAGTATTTTTTTTTTATTTACTTTTTTTTGTTTTTTTGGAGTTGGTTTTTATCTTCGTTATTAAAAGAGTTTTTAAGTTGTACTTCTATAATAAGTTAGCCACATCACGTTAAGTGTAATGACCTTTAGCAGGAACCAATATCGAATTCGAATAGTTTACGAGTGCAAAATGTCATTGTCAAATTTTGTTTGGAAACTTTAACAGCAGCGCTACAACGGACGTAACGAAACACCGAAAATCAGTACACATTTGACGTATAAAATAGGCCGAATTCAACTATTCGAATTCGATAATGGCTCGTGCTAAAGGTACAGTACCAGATTATGCCAGATTTAATATCGAATTCGTAACGTTTGCGAGTCCGAAATGTCATTGTCAAATGTGTACTGATTTCTAGTTCTCGTTATGTACTTTGTGGCATTGCTGTTCAAGTTTCCATACAAAATTTGACATTGACATTTCGCATTCGCAAACTATTCGAATTCAATATTGGTTGGTGCTAAGGGTGCTGGACAGCATAAGCTTTTTCATATTTAAAAAAAAACAAACACAGTCTGTGTAGTAGTACTGACCACTGAAAAAAAAAACTGAAAACCTGACAAAGAAAACATCAAAATAAGTCAAGTAATGAGAGAGAGGGTTGATCACCTAACCTATCCTTTTTGAAATCAATTGGAAAAGACAAGTGACCCACCCTGCGCTGTTATTGTTTTCCAGCATGTATTATATACATACATAAAAATTTCCCATAAAAATATTTAACCTATTGAGAAAACCGTATGAATATTTATAATTTTTATTATTTTTAAAGCATGTAACTGCTTGATGTTTAAATCTAAAGAAAATATAACTAGAAAAAATTCCACGCGGACCAGGCAGCAGACGGGACTCGAACCCGCACCCTTCGCAATCCGGGCGAATGCACTGACCAATTATGCTACCGCGGCCCTCACGGACCGCGTCGAAATTCCTTCTAGCTATTCTTAAGCTGCAAGGCAGCGCCATCTCTTCGCATTATAGGTAAACCCACAATGTCAAATGAATACTTTTACAAGTATTAAACATTTGAAAGAAGAAATAGCAATTATAGTTGTAATTTTTATTATTTTTAAAGCATGTAACTGCTTGATGTTTAAATCTAAAGAAAATATAACTAGAAAAAATTCCACGCGGACCAGGCAGCAGACGGGACTCGAACCCGCACCCTTCGCAATCCGGGCGAATGCACTGACCAATTATGCTACCGCGGCCCTCACGGACCGCGTCGAAATTCCTTCTAGCTATTCTTAAGCTGCAAGGCAGCGCCATCTCTTCGCATTATAGGTAAACCCACAATGTCAAATGAATACTTTTACAAGTATTAAACATTTGAAAGAAGAAATAGCAATTATAGTTGTAATTTTTATTATTTTTAAAGCATGTAACTGCTTGATGTTTAAATCTAAAGAAAATATAAATAGAAAAAATTCCACGCGGACCAGGCAGCAGACGGGACTCGAACCCGCACCCTTCGCAATCCGGGCGAATGCACTGACCAATTATGCTACCGCGGCCCTCACGGACCGCGTCGAAATTCCTTCTAGCTATTCTTAAGCTGCAAGGCAGCGCCATCTCTTCGCATTATAGGTAAAACCACAATGTCAAATGAATACTTTTACAAGTATTAAACATTTGAAAGAAGAAATAGCAATTATAGTTATAATTTTTATTATTTTTAAAGCATGTAACTGCTTGATGTTTAAATCTAAAGAAAATATAACTAGAAAAAATTCCACGCGGACCAGGCAGCAGACGGGACTCGAACCCGCACCCTTCGCAATCCGGGCGAATGCACTGACCAATTATGCTACCGCGGCCCTCACGGACCGCGTCGAAATTCCTTCTAGCTATTCTATAATTGGTCAGTGCATTCGCCCGGATTGCGAAGGGTGCGGGTTCGAGTCCCGTCTGCTGCCTGGTCCGCGTGGATTTTTTTCTAGTTATATTTTCTTTAGAATTAAACATCAAGCAGTTACATGCTTTAAAAATAATAAAAATTATAACTATAATTGCTATTTCTTCTTTCAAATGTTTAATACTTGTAAAAGTATTCATTTGACATTGTGGGTTTACCTATAATGCGAAGAGATGGCGCTGCCTTGCAGCTTAAGAATAGCTAGAAGGAATTTCGACGCGGTCCGTGAGGGCCGCGGTAGCATAATTGGTCAGTGCATTCGCCCGGATTGCGAAGGGTGCGGGTTCGAGTCGTATGAATATTGTTCAGTAGTTTTTATTGTAGATTGTCGCTAATTCCGGTTGCATTTGTAGTCGTTAGCCAAGGTCGAAGCTAGGGAGTGACAGCACCCCTCAGGTTGAGTGGTCTAGAGGCTCCAGATGGAGAGGAGACTCAGCCCGTGGGGAGATGCCATCCGCCCGGAATACCTTTAGAGGCACTCGCCAATTCTCGGCTTGACATCCCCTTAGGATCTCGCCGTCCCCAAACCCGGTGACGCTGTAAAGGTCATCAGCGACCAACAGCATACACACTCAAAAAAAAAAAAGATCGCCCATCTACACACCCCTGTTTTTTATTTTAAACTGTATTGGCCATAATACAACAGAATGGTACAAAAGGCGGACTTAATGCTAATAGCATTCTTAGGCGTCGTCCTAATTGGCAACGATCATACGATGACACGATGCGTTCTTGTCGTGCGATGTAATAGAAACAAAAGTGAGGAAATTCGCAGGAGAACTAAAGTAACTGATATCGCTCGAAGGATTGCTCAGCTGAAGTGGCAGTGGGCGAGGAGAACCGATGGCCGTTGAGGCGGAAAGATTCTCGAATGGCGACTATGCACCGGACGAAGCTCGGTGAGAAGGGAGCCCTCCACCAGGTGGACCGACGATCTGCAGAAGATCACGGGAAGCCGATGGATGCGCGTGGCACAGGACCGATCTATGTGGAGATCCTTGGGGGATGCCTATGCTCAGCGCAGGGTGTCGTACGGCTGATATGATGATGATGACACATGGTGGGTCATGGTCTAATCTCTAATCCCATTCCATTTATAGGGAAGGCCAATGTTAATGGGTGATGGTGATGAGAAGTAGTAATTGAATGAAGAGTAGAAAATTTTCGGGCACAGGCAAAGTTCTTACTGATCCAAAAAATCGTACGACATAGATTTATTGTACCAAAAAAACGAGTTGAACATTCAAATAGTAGGTTATTGTGACACCAATCAATTGATCTAATATTAGGGCTGCCAAAGCTTTGTATGTTAGAAAATAATAAATAAAATAAATAAATATGAGTCGGAACTGAAGAAAGTGTTCTGCTCATATTATTGATAGGAATAGGGAATCTGCAAGCAGCAATTCTATAGATAACGGGTTGCATACAAAATCAAAGCTTAAAACTGTCCGCGTATGTTTAAACTTATGCAGCTACATTCAATTCCCAATGAACAAAGATAAATGTTTTAAAACAGTTTAATTTGAACCTAATAACAACTATCTCACAAAGGGATAGGGTACAAATAACAAAATGTTATTTCGCACATACGACTTTTTATCTTATAAAACGAACTCTTGTTCCTTTTCTAAAATTATATCAGATACTTGGAAAAAATTACGATAAAGGTAAAAAAAGGAAAATGTGAAATCAACCTTATGAACCACAAAATAAAATATTTTTAGACCAAGATATTTCCTTTTTTGGGTTTGTTTTTCGTGTTTTTGCTTTCGCGGTACAGTTACACAATAAACAGTGTTTTTAGAAAGCACCAGTAGTTTTATCAGAAGAGTGACACACAACGTAGTTCCTATACTAAGCTTTCGCTGTTCGTACGTCAGTGTATTTATTCATATATATTATACAGGCAGTCCTCGACTTACGTCGTTTCGATTTACGTCGTTTTAATTTACGTCGAACAATGTTTTGGCACTATTCCTCAAGCATACGTCAATTGTTTCGATTTCCGGCATAGGAGAATTCACTTGCCGCGAAGTCAATGTCAGTGGGGCTGGCGTCCGTGGGGATGTCTCGACTTACGTCATTTCGACTCACGTCACGTATCAAGAACCTAATATGCCGTAAGTACGAGAACTGCCTGTGCAAGAAAATGTGACTTTTCACGTGTTTTTTTCTCGCCTTTAGAAATCGCGAAAAAACTTCAAGAGATCAAAATTAACAATTCCAGAACTTTCCTTTTTTTGTAAATTCATCAAGTGAGTAAGAGAGTGCCATTGTCTCTGGCCTTAAAACTGTATTCTAAAATTTTAAAAATTACCTTTACGACTACTAACTTTTATGATGTTACGAAAACTTTTTTGAGTCTGACTTGAAAATTTACATTTGGCAGCCCTATAGTTGTACATTCTCAATACTGAATTGTTGTTCCATTTAAACTTATCTTGATATCTGATTTTGATAACTAACATTTCGATAATTGTTTATCGGTTCTGTGTCTAGGTTAGTTAACTGTATTTTAGCACCGTTACCTTACCAGACATAAACCACAGTTAAACATAGAGCTAAATAAATTGGGTCAGTAATTGTGACGGCGGCAAAGCTATTGTTGATTGTTGGTAATAAACGCGCAATAACGCGGATGATAATTCTATAGGATTAAATCAACGATGAGCTTAATAGTGCATTTCGATCTAAGATCGTGGAAGTTTTAAACAACTTTCGCAATGGTCGGTCATCAGATGGGTTACCAAATAATTTATCAATCAATCAATCAAAATCATTTATTCAGTTTAGGCTGTAACAAGCACATATGAATGTCTAGAAGCTACGCCATCATTATTATTACGTGCTCAAACTTGAACTGCCGGCGATCTACCTCAAAATTTTTAGACAACTTACGACCGACTCTGAGAAGCTGCAAGTATGTGTCATGCAGGCTTGTCGTACAGACACGATACACCCCACCTACCTACCTACCTAGGTAGGGTGTACCGTAGCATATATAGATATTAGCTTTCCGCACAATATACATTATTTTGATCAAGGTTCGGGTTAGGTTTAATTAGGTTCTTCTTTACAATATCAATGAAAAAACTCATAGATATTCAAAATTGCGAGTTTATTGGTTGTTACAAAACAAAAGAGTTACAAATGGTGTTAAACTTAACTAAGGAGTGACTTTGGATGTTGCAGCGTGGCACTGCATGTCCTTAGCATACTTTTCATAAGATCGTCAGTTAGTCGATTGCGATATTTATTAGTGATGTGTGATTATAGCCAGTGACGCATGGAAGGTACGAGTAGGGCGAGTACATCTATAGCAAGTAGGAGAATACGTTTATACGTTTATGCACGAAACATGTTCCAATATTTATTATAATCAAATAATGGATAATTCGAGGCTCTATAAACATATTATTAATTTTAAGTAAAATTTGTTAAGGGGTGGCTGAAAAACAGCGTTGGTTCAGGTCTAGGCTTGATCAACATTGGCTGAGCCATTTCCTATTGTCTTATTTTTAACGAAATTTTATTATTTAAATATCTGTTAACATGTAAAAAAAGACAATAAATTATTATTATTATTATTATATTTTGACTTACTTATTTTCATTTCAGAAAATGCAGACGAGTAAGTTGACCCAAACATTTCCGTCAGTTGAAGGGCAATTTGCCTTAGATTCGGATATTTATCTTCAAATATAAAACACCAGAAACTTGTAGCAGATGCTGTAGCTTTGGGATGTATATCTGATATAATCTGCACCAACTCATTTTCAACAGAACATGAGCTCATTAAACTGACTTGCTATTTTAGTAGCTAATTCCTCAATGTTTTTACATGAAAAAGGATAACTCATAAATGATGCTATATTTGCCAATTTACTGCAATCATAAAAACGCATTTTGAATTTTTTCAAAGACAGATAATGTTTCATATCCTTTCTTTTCAGTTGATCTATCATAAGTTGCAATTTACTTTTGAATGCGTTTACTGCGCTAATGATCTCAATAATAGTTTTTCCTTTACCTTGAAACTCCAAGTTAATGTTGTTTAAGTGCATTGTGATGTAAGTCAAAAATTCAAAATCAGTCAACCGTTTTTCGTTTTTTAACATCTGAGTGTCATCACCTCTTTCGTCTAGAAAAGCTGTTATTCAAAATTCTTGAAACCTTTCTAGGAATTTTCCCCGACTTAACCACCTGACGTCCGTGTAAAGAACTAAATCAGTGTGTTCAGCTGACTCCCTATCTTCCAACTGCAACTTAAAGAGCCGCCGTTGCAAGCTACGTGCACGGATGGAATTCACAATTTTTGTTGCAATGCCCATAATTTCCTACGTGTTTAAAACATTTGAACACAAAACTTGTTGATGTATAATGCAAATGGAATGAAAAAAATGAAGGGAAATCTTCAGTAGCACAAAACCGTTTTTGTTTCCAGTCATTGCTGGTGCTCCATCGGTTGTAATGCACACTAATTTATATATTGGTAGCTTGTAGTTTTTTACAAATTTGAAGAAAACGTCATATATATCTTCGCGACGGGTATTCCCCTTCAGAGGAATGATTGTCAAAAATTCTTCCTTAGCCAACATGTCACTGAATATCATCCGAATAAAAATACACAGCTGGGCATATCGTGATCGACCGTTTGAGCACCGGCTTGAGAAAACGGCTCATTTTACACGTAATTTGTGCGTGACTCTAATGTCAGATTGTTAGGAAAGCAGTCAATGTGTACGTGTGAAGCGACGAACGTATCTACCAAGTTTAGTAGATATTTTTTGGGTAGCTTCCGTGCAGTTAATACGGTATCTAGTGTTAATATTTTCATATATTTAACATTTTGTTTGTTTTTGTTACAGATAATGTTAGTATGGCTACGGAGATCATTACAATTTCACTGTCGCTACTTGTTATAGCAACCGATGTGCAAACACAGTATTTTGGTGAGTGATATACCATAAATACTTATATAATTATCTAGTATTTTTCGATCAAAAATTTGTAGATCAAAGTTAATACCGTACAAAAATTATATAATGAATCTATATGTTCATCATCATCATCATCAGCCTATTAATGTCGCCACTGCTGGGGCACAGGCTTTCACTATGGATGGAATAGGAGGATTGGGCCATGACCCTCCACACGGGCCCAGTGCGGATTGGCGGGTGCTAACAACTGCAGATGCAGCCGGGACCAACGACTTAACGCGCCTTCTGAAGCATGGAGGAACTCGAGATAGAACATTTTTGGTCACCCATCCAATGACCGACCACTGCGAAAGTTGCTTAACTTCAATGATCGCAGCCGAACGCGCTAACCACCCGCGCCATCGAGTTCCTCCTACTATATGTTACTAAAATAAAATAATGTTTAAATTCTGGACAACTCATATTAGCACAAGTCCAAGCGAGGAATTTGGGATCTACTCGAGCATAGAAGAATAAAATATGGGGAGCAATCTTTGCAGCATACCTGAGCTCTTTAAATAGGCTCGAAGGCCAGCTGAAAAAATAATTCAGCAATCAGCCATGACTTTTGTTCGCCTCCAAATCGTCAGTCTTTTGAATAGGAGCTATTGGAGGGTTAGCGTTTCTGATGACTGCCGGCCTATACGCTAGCTTTTTGGACATTTACTGTGTGTAACTACAGAGAAAATTGCATATCCATCGGTGCTTTTCAGAACAAGTATCTTAGTGGCGTTATAATAAAGCAATAGTGGATCACTAAATAGCTCGGTGATTATCACATACAAGAAATGCTGAAAAATTATTCCCTTGTCTATATGTGTATTTGAAACAAAAAAAATATTATTTTATGTATGTATTATGTATGTGTATGTATTGTAGACCAAAAACGTGCTTGTTACAGATTTATTCCAAGGCTACCAACCGTTCGTACCTTTACAACATACTACTAAAAGGCCAGACTTCCTAATCTACCCACAAGAAAACAGCCAGAAAAGGTCCAAAGGCGAGGCGGGCTTTATAAGCAATGACAGACAAACGAGTAAAGAGCAGACGAGAAGACAACCATCACATTCGCACGAAAGAGACGGCAATAAACACACAACCAAAAGAAAGCATGTTACCACAGCGTCTTTATTCAATTTAAATTTTTTCACTACTCCTGCACCCATTAAGAGGGCCATCAAAAACTCTAGTCGAAGACATTTTAATACGGACGAGTCGAATATAAATGATAACATAAGTACTAGTCAAGAGCAAACCAATAAAAGAGCGTACAATTCCAATTTCGATGACAAAAGACAGTCGTACGATGAAACATTAAACAACATAGCTGAAAATTATCATTCAACTACTAAGCGCGCTTACTCAACTACAAGACGTAATTATATTACTCCGAAACCTAATCGAGCCACTACTAAGTCTGCTTTCGCAACTACAAAGAATTATCACAGCACAAGAAGGCCTGGTAGCGATGTGAATTCGTATTATACGACGCTTAGACCGGGAGTCAGACCTGCTAATGTTGATTTGAGTAAACCACCCATTACCAATAAACCACCCGCACTGGCTGTGTATCCTCGGCCTACGGACAGTAGTGTTATCCGGTTTCCCGAAGACCCTGATACTAGTCCTGAGTTAATACCGGGACCAGATGAAGACAAAATGAGTTATGCTGAGAAGAGGAGGTACATAGAGTTAGCTGAGAAAAGTAAGTCCTTCAGAATTTTTCTGTTTCTAAAAGCCTGATGTTAAACTGATACCAATATCTAAAAACAAAACTAACCCAATCACGAAACACGCATTCCTGACTCACTTCTTAAAGCAATATAGAACAAGAAAACATTTAAATTTCAAAATCTAAATTCAGTCTGTCACATTTGAAACATTATTCTGTTTAATATAGTAAACTTAAAGTTTCAAAGCCATAAATATAAGTGTTTTATTCTTGTATTTAAAACAATAAACAATGAATTTGACCTTGCAATATTTGTGATAGTGAAATTCAACAAGAAGATAGATTTTGGGATCAGACAAATGTACCTATGTGATGACGTAATTTATGTTTCAGTGTGTGACAAATACAAATCTTTGAACGTGAAGAAGTTAGAAGCTATACCACTTGTCCCTTCCCCGGAGCCAGTGCGAGTGAACGTATCGGTGTGTCCACCAACCAACGTACCACTGGTAGTGGGTGGAAAAGTGGTCACCATCCAGGAGTTCCCGCATATGACGCTGCTTGGCTGGACCAAACTGCAGGTGTGTCAAATATAATTTAATATTAACCTTTTCTAGATAGTTCCCATGTTCTTGTTATGAAATCTCTAATGATAATACATGAATTTGGTATATCTTTGTTTCGTTGCCTAGCAATAACTTACTTATTTATAGGTTGACTTACGAATTTTTTCATACTCAATTATGAATGCCAATTGTATAATAGCATAATAAACATTCGATTCAGCTTTTATTCCCAACATTTATATAAAAGCAGAGTTCCACAACTATCACATCATCCAGGTATCATAGATGCGCATTAGAACCACAAACCAGCCATGATTATACATAATATGATGAACAATCATGGCCAATGCATTAGTCAATCCAAATGATACCTGTTACTGTCATAGCTTCTTTCCAGGAACAGTGTTAATCTAAGTCTTCTATTTACCTTCTGGTCAAAGCTTCACCTGCAATCTCTCTTTAAGCCAACTGTAGAATAGTGCTTTGGACTAAACCAGGCTGCAAATGAACATGAACCTTATATTACGTGACTTCGGAGGCATTTTATTTGACAGAAAGAACAGGTAGAACTGCTGTATCAGCTATCTTCGCGTCTGGGCTTCACCTTCACTTAACATCAGGTGGGGTGGAGTCATTTGTCGGACCAAAAAAACATTGCGCGGTATGCCCATCCACTGGCAAGTTGTAATAATATGATTGACATACTCGATATGGACGATAAAGTGATCATAAAGTCATCAAATCATGATCATGATGATCAAATCATGGTGCAAGAGTCGTTTTATACTTATTGCCTAATCAAAGACACTCTTCGCCTGATTTTAAGTATCAGTGAAGTCTAGGGAAATAACTGAAAAGGCATATCTTTCTCTCGCATCCTAACCTTACTTTGTCTGTCTAAATTCAATTTCCTATCCCGTGGAGCCCTGGAAGCTTTACGCACAGACAGAAATACACCACCATCAATTGAAAACAGTGTTGTTTAACTGTAGTCTTCTGTAAGGTGGAGTTTGCTTTACCAGATCAGGTTTCCTTTCTTAAAAGTTTTAGAACTTATTCAAACGGTTTTTATTTTTATTCCAGGGTGGTGGTTACTCTTGGAAATGTGGCGGATCACTGATCAGTGACCAATATGTGCTGACAGCGAGTCATTGTGCCCATCAGGATAAAGATGACACAGTAGTTACGTAAGTATTGATACTGCTGTTTTGAAAGAATAGGTAACTCTTGAGCGATCAATGCCCTTAGTTCGCAAAGTAGCCGGAGAAACTCAAATTGGATTTATATGGAGCTTTTTATTAAATACTGAATTATGTTTATTATATCAAACAAAAATAGCGTCTATGGGCTATGATCATGACAGCAATATCGTCATGCGTGAGAGAATACTTTTAGATAACCCTTATGAAATTAAATACCTACATCACACCAAGTAAATTATAACCGTTTGTAATGCAGAAGTAGCTCTCTACTAACGTTTCATTCTATAACTCCAGTATCCTTCAGCATATCATCATATCAGCCGCACGACACCTACTGCTGGACATAGGCCTCCCCCAAGGATCTCCACAACGATCGGTCCTACGCTGCCCGCATCCCGCGACCTTTACCAGATCGTCGGTCCACCTTGTAGCGAGTCCACTGAGCGTCGTCCGGCACGTGGTCGCCATTCGAGAACCTTTCCGCCCCAACGGCCATCGGTCCAGTATTCTTAGCACGAACCAATATCAAATTCGAATAGTTTGCGAGTGCGAAATGTCAGTGTCAAATGTGTACTGATTTTTAGTTCTCGTTACGTCCGTTGGGCGCTACTGTTAAAGTTTCATTACATTATATTACATTTCGGCCTCGCAAACTATTCGAATTCGATATTGGTTCGTGCTAAGGGTATTGTATAAAGTAACACGAGCGTTACAGTGCTTACTTAAGGCTAGGTTAATGGGTTGCGTGTATTAGAAAATATTTATTTATTTATTATCATTGTGTTTTTCAGGGGTGCACCAAGGGTGGTACAACTTGGTTCCAGCTATTTGGATGATGCAGGAGCTTTGGTGGTTAAAGTGTTGTCCGTGTTTCGGCACCCGAAATACATCTCGAATAGGTCTTACTACGACATAGCTCTCGTCAAATTGGTGAAACCTGTTACGTGAGTACCTTTTTATTGCTTTAAAACAGACCTTTATTTATAGAACTCCGCATAATTTGTACATCTTCACAAATAGGATATTTCTAGTTATGGTTGGAATGAGTAGTCTGTTAGTCTTCCAAAAAAACGAGTGTGCTTATGACCACACGACTGAAGTTAAACTTTTTTAGCTCCATCTGTATATATATATGTGTATGTGTGTGTGAGTGTGTGTGCGCGTGAGTGTGTGCGTGCGTGCGTGCGTGCGAGCGTGCGTGCGTGCGTACGTGCGTGCGAGCGTGCGTGCATGCGTGTGTGCGTGTGTGTGTGTACAATGCACATATACATATTTCATTAACTAGCTATAAGAGAAAGAGAGAAAGAAAATGTGCGCGCGCACTGCTTTCTCTTGCTTATAAACCCCACTCAAATCCCGTTCGCTTCGCCCGATCACACTTTACGTAACGCGTAACGCTTTCGCCAGCTTACCCCCCAAGTCAAGCGTGCGTAAAGAAGTTTCACTTTAATAAATAAATAAAACATGCTTACAGGGACTTACATAGCGCAGAACATTCATTTACCCTACCGATGTTCATTAATTTTATTGTTGTTGATATCCTTATACTAAAATATCTGGAAAAAGTTTTACCTTAATTAAGTCCTTTATTCCTTTTTTGTTTTACAACCATAATTTTTTCGTTCGGCTGCGATCGTTGAACTTAAGCAACTTTCGCAGTGGTCGGTCATTGGATGGTTGACCAAAAATTACTATCTCGAGTTCCTCCGTGCTTCGGAAGGCACGTTAAGCCGTTGGTCCCGGCTGCATCTGCAGTCGTTAGCACCCACCAACCCGCACTGGGCCCGCGTGGTGGGTCATGGCCCAATCTCCCTATTCCATCCATAGGGAAGGCTGTTGATGATGATGATGATGATGATCCGAAAAGCGGGAGAAAGAGATTGTACCTAATACTTAAAATAGAAAAAATATTATGAACATGAAGTTATGTTGGACTACAATATTTCCCTGCAAGAAGTTTCTTTTTTGATGAATGATCATTGGGTAGGGGAAGACGCTTTTCTATTTATTAAATACTAGTGGCCCGCCCTCGCTTTGCTTCGGTGTAGACTATAGTTTTTGTTCAAAGACTTGTATTATACACAATGACCTTCTTCATAATAATTATAACCTACCTTCCATTCCAAGTAAAAAATTCGTTGCGTAGTTTAGGACCCGTTGTACCGAATGCACCATTGCTCTGCTGTTCCGATTTGAAAATCTTTTTGTATTGGACAGTGTATTTATCGAGGAAGGCTATATATAGGCTATATTAATATTACCAGGCTACGACCAGTAGCAGCGGAGCATCGATGAAAAATGTTGCAAAAACGTGTAAAAATATTCTATTTGTGAGATCCGTTGCGTGCGCTGGGTAAACGGTTAAAGTTACACAAAAATCATGTATGACGGAATTCTTTCCCTTTAAATGTTCTGTAGAAAAGTCCACGATAGATTTGGTCTATATTTTAAGTTTGACTCACTATAAACCTTTTTCTTCAAATTAACGCGGGTGAAACCGCAGGGGATAATTGTAATTGTTAGACATTTGGTATTGTGGACTTTTTTGTAGATATTGGTGTCCTCTATAAAACTTTAGTACGTCACTTTGCTCTATTGTCAATGACTTCCGCAGCGTATGCGATATAAGGCTATTTTTTGGTATTTTTTACACACGTTGGGTTACATTATCGAAGTTTTCATACGGAACCCTAACTTTCTTGAAAATACACTATAGCCTATATTAATCAATAATAGTGTAGCATTGAAATGGTAAATAAATTTTTAAAATCGGTTCTGTACTTTTTGAGCCAAAAAAAATAACCCACCGAAAAGTAAAAAATAATAATCCTTATAATTTAAATTTTTGAAGCATGTTACTGCTTGATGTTTTAAGCTAAAGAAAATATAACTAGAAAAAATTCCACGCGGATCAGGCGCGATTCCTACAATGCGAAGAGATGGCGCTGCCTTGCAGCTTAAGAATGGCTAGAAGAACTTAGACGCGGTCCGTGAGGGCCGCGGTAGCATAATTGGTCAGTGTTTTTTTTCTAGTTATATTTTCTTTAGATAATAATCCTTTTTTAACTTTAGTCAAATTAATATTTGGAGCCGGTCCCATGCCAACTCGAGTAGTAAATGGGAACTCAGATTTATCAAACATGCAATTGGCAATAATGAATTAGACTAAATTTGAAAAAGGTTTCTTTATTTTATTCTTTTCGGTGGTTAAATCTTTTTGTTAATATATTTTTTGTGACTGTAACTTGTAATATACAACTCCGCATTAATATCTGTGAGTGAACAGTCACCCCTATTTTTTTCCGAATTCATATGGGACCAACATCGGGAGATTCTCCTTCCAATAAAAGAATTATCAAAATTGTACTAAATGAAAAGTTATGCGTACATAAAAACAAATATATATATATATATATATATATATATATATATATATATATATATATATATATATATGCGTCGACTTGAGAAACTCCGCCGTTTTTTCGTCCGTTAAAAACATTGTTCGAATAGATCGTTTGTCGGTCTCCACGGCTTATATCGTGATGAATTTTATTCCTGACTAGCGGCCTGACATCGCTTCGCTTCGGTGTAGAACTGAAGTGTAGACTACAGTTTTTGTTCTCAGGCTTATATTATACACAATGACATTCATCTATGATTCTTCTTATACCTGCATGCAAAGTCTCAGCCCGATCGGTTTAAAATTGACAAAGTTTCATACAAACTTTCATTCCCTATTTTATACCCTTGGGGGTAGAATTGATCAAAATCCTTTTTTAGCAGATGCCTACGTCATAACATCTGCCTGCATGTCAAATTTCAGCCCGATCCGTCCAGTGGTTAGGGCTGTGCGTTGATAGATCACTATGTCAGTTTGAGTTTTATATAGATAGGAAGTAATGTAACAATTATTTTGATATTCTACAAATTGCTGCTAACGTAATTAATATCTGTATTGGTAATCCACAGATTTTCGGAGGTGGTGAAACCAGCTTGTCTCGGTGAACCTCCAGGCGTAGGAGAACCGATTATAGCCACAGGCTGGGGGCGGACGGAATTCGGTAACTATAAACTTAGACCGTTTGCATTCTAAATGTAATTAAAAATCTAAAGAAAAGTTTTACTAAGTTTTCTAGTAAAACTTTTCTTTAGATTTAAACATCTAGCAGTTAAAAATAAAAACATAACTATAATTGCTATTTCTTCTTTCAAATGTTTAATACTTGTAAAAGTATTCATTTGACATTGTGGGTTACCTACAATGCGAAGAGATGGCGCTGCCTTGCAGCTTAAGGCTAGGAAAATTTCGACGCGGCCATCAGGGTCGTGGTAGCATAATTGGTCAGTGGATTGGCCCGGATTGCGAAGGGTGCGGGTTCGAGTCCCGTCCGCTGCCTGGTTCGCGTGGATTTTTTTCTAGTAAAACTTTTCTTTAGATTTAAACATCTAGCAGTTAAATGCTTAAAAAAATAAAAACATAACTATAAACTTATTATTACAATCAACAATTAGCCTTTTAACTTGATTTTTTCTCTAGATTTTGTTTTTGCTGCTAGGACACAAAGCTCAAAAAAAGAAATACATATTTTTATTACCACTATAGGTAACATAGATACCTTAGAAATTTCAAGACTGCGTTCAATTGCGTTTCAAGATTAAGTTCATTTATGTTGAAAATTTGGATTTCCGATACAAATTTCCATCCCTTCTTTTCACCCCTTTAAAGGAAGAATTCTGAAATTAAATGTATCCAAATGTCAGACAGTTCATGGGACTCATACTATCGGCTATCTCCATACCGAATTTCATTTAAATAAGTTCAGTGGCTTGAGCGTGGAGAGGTAACAGACAGACGTACTTATGCATTTATATAATAGTAATTTTCCCTTAAACCATTTCTCAGGTGGAAGCCAATCCCTAGAATTGCGTAGCGTCTCCATACCGGTGTGGGACATGAACGAGTGTCAGCAAGCTCTAGGAACATCTAGGAAGCTTCCGAACGGTCCTTCTAGGGACAGCCAGATCTGTGCTGGAGAGAAGCAAGGAGGGAAGGACACCTGTCAGGTAAAAGATAACTTAATATTTCTAACACTCACACCCGTGGAGGTCACACAGAGACAGAAGGAGAACGATCACTACGTGCTAAACCATTAGCCCGCCTGTCCCCGAAAATTTGTAGTATTTATAGTTTATTTTTCAGTCACCAGCCGCTTAGTAGTATCTGTGAAGTTAGCTGTTTAAAAGTAGATGAAGTTAGTTGAATAATGTACAAAGGAGATTGCTCAAATTGGCCCAAATGCACAAAAATATTGACATACACGGTAATTCTTGGCGTAATTTATAATTTAATTTACAGCTATTAGATTTCAACGGGACACCTTTGTATAATATATTCACTTTAAAAAGGACTTTTCATTTTACCGGTTTGGAAAACATACGAATTCACAATCATCACACAGTTTCTGTCACAGAGTACCTTATTATAACTGGAAATGACACCTGATTTTAAAAGATACTCGTATGCATTAACTTTAAAAACAGGCAACTATCTGTTAATCTTCATGCTCTATATACCTGAATCTAATCCATAATTTCGGTACTTGGCTTGATTTCCCTAGTATACTATATAACTTATTTGTTTTTTATTATTTTAATATGTTCAGTGTATATGGTTTATAGAAGTTCTCAGGGGTGTCCGTCAATAATATTCGCTTCTACAGTAATTTATATATAACTAGCTGACCCAGCGAACTTCGTACCGCCCTAAAAAAATAGGTGTTGTCCAGCGGACAAAATTGTGAATCTAAACCATTCTCAGATCCCCTTGAACACACACAAAAAATTTCATCAAAATCGGTCCAGTCGTTTAAGAGAAGTTCAGTGACATACACACTCACAGAAGAATTATATATATAAAGATTTCGAATCTAGGAAACAATTTTTCATGATTATTGGTTTTTAGGCCAAACATGTATGGAAGCTGAGCAATCTCCTTTCTTTGCGGCTTTTTATTTTGTTCATATTTCCGGGACACTATTTTTACAGCGATCGGTCTCCTACACTCTGACTTCCATGCTCACACCATCCATCCATCCATCCATCCATCCATCCATCAGCCTTTTACCGTCCACTGCTGGACATAGGCCTCTCCCATAAAATGCCACAATGCGAGGTCCTGCGCTATCCGCATCCAGCGGAGCAGAGTTAGCACGCTGAACTGGCAATGGGCAGGCAACATCGTTCGAGGATTTGATAACCGTTGGGCAAGAAAGGTCTTCGAGTGGCGACCACGTACCGGACGACGCAGCGTGGGGCGGCCCCCATCAAGGTGGTCTGACGACATCGTCACATGTTCACACCAATGATAGTACAGTCAATCTGTAGGTTGAGTGGTGAAAAAAAAAACCTAAAGGGTAAGTCTTGTTTTTTCTGTTGCCAAATGACGTCAGTAAGCCACCTTGGCGATGGGCATGTTCAACTCGTAGGCGATTTTTGAAAAACTCAAAAAAACCGTAAGAATACAATACGCATTTTTTGTTGTACGAGATTGCAACAATGACATAAATTGTAGAGTACTCAACGCCCTCTACAATTATGGTCGAAAAAAAAGTTTCTAAAATGCATACAAAACAAGAAAAATGCGTTTCAAAATTTTTTTGAAGGTTTTTTTCAGGATGGGCATGCTCAACTCGTAGGCGTTTTTTGAAAAACTCAAAAAAACCTTCAAAAAATTTTTGAAACGCATTTTTCTTGTTTTGTATGCATTTTAGAAACTTTTTTTTTACTGACGTCATTTGGCAACAGAAAAAACAAGACTTACCCTTTAGGTTTTTTTTTTCACTGAAACGATTTTTTTTTCGACAGATTGACTGTACTATGAAGGTTTTCTGGAATGACGGGCACTAGGTAGCAGCACTGCCTTGAAAGGTCTACTCATCCGTCAAATCACATATGTCTTCATAGTATGGATCAATTTAAATGCTCGTTCGGTTAGTTCGCGCCAAAAACTACATACAATAGACCTTACGTCACAGTGGCTCCAACTAGTGACGTAAACTTTCATGAACACCCTCAATCCTTAAATAATGCACTTTAAAGCTTGTATTATGGGATATAAGGGTAACGGATAGACATACATAATCATAGATAAGCAAATTTGTAGCTAGAAATATTTATAAATAGCCATGACTTTGATAGAAATGCTCCTATTCATCTAAGAAACATTTGCTCCTACGGGAATTGGAACTGGGATCTAAGAATAGGCGACACCGTGATAATCGGTGTACACACCATTCCACCACGGAGGTCATCAATAATATCTAATAAGTTTTTATTTTAATTCTTCTGGTAGAAAAAATACCTATTCACATTAGGTTTTTAGTAAGCTGTAGATAATGTTGAAAATTTATTAACAGGGTGATTCTGGTGGACCCGCCCAAATCCAAGATGGCTGCGCTTGGCGAGTAGTAGCCGTCACTTCCGTTGGAAGATCTTGTGGAGCACCTAATACTCCTGCGCTTTACGCTACCCTCCATAGAGCTTTCATAGCTGCCCAAATATTCGGGAAACTTTCCAACAACCAGGATACAGGAAGCCAGAACAGACAAGACAATATAAACGTCAACAACTATCAAAATGAAAATTCTAACAAACCCAACCGTAGACCTAATGTTAATAATGACAATAATAATAACAATGGAAATGGAAATTATAATCAGAATGCTAATGGACAAAGTAATAGCAATGTTAATAATAATAACCGAAATGAAAATTATAGTCCAAATACGAATAGCCAAGATAATATTAACGTAAATAATAATAACAGAGATCTGAATCATAACAGGAATACCAATAGACACAACGATAGGCAAAACAATGTGAATGTAAATAATAATAATAATGGCGTAAATGTACCTTTTAATAGTAATTATAATAACGGTTATAATATACCTGACGATGTATATAATCTTAATATAAATAATAATCGTAAACAGAATGCTAATTATAATACGGATAATGATTATACGCCTGAATTTAGTGTTAATTATAATAAACGAGAAAATGGAAATGACAATTATGATATTGCACGACCGAATTATGGAAATGTGGGATCTAATACGAATTCAAGGAATCAATATGTGAGAGATACCGGTTATAATGGTTATAAAAATGAATTCAATGTTAATGATGGAGCAGATTATTATGGGAGACAAGAATATGTAGTGACTGAAGCGCCTAAATACAACGATGAAAGAAATTGGTGGCAGCCATATTAGATTTTATTATAAGTGTGATTATTAGTAAGGAATTTTATTTATAACTTATTTAATTGGATGTAGTTAATTGATAATTCAATGTTTATAATACAATAACTTCCGCAGTGGTCGGTCATTGGATGGATGACCAAAAATCGAGATCCTCCGTGCTTCGGAAGGCACGTTAAGCCGTTGGTCCCGGCTGCATCTTCTGTCGTTAGCACCCACCAATTCGCAGTGGGCCGCGTGGTGGGTCATAGCCCAATCTACCTATTCCATTCATAGGGAAGGCCTGTGCCCCAGTAGTGGGGACATTAATAGGCTGATGATGAAGAAGTTATGAAGACGGCCCGGTTTCTATTGCCAACCGAGGAAGGAAAATTTTAATTATTTATTTTAAAAGTTACACTTGCATCGTGGCTTCATTAAACCACACTATTCTTAATGTTTTTTGTTAGAAAACCAGCGGTAATAAATTTAGTTAAAAGATTCTCTTCAGAGAATTAATTCTCTTCAATCTGAATGTCAATTTTGTATAAATTATTACAATAAATGAATAATAAAATATATTACTCAATTATGATGTTTTGTTTCTGTCTGTTATCTCGCCACACTTAAACCACTGAACGGTTTACATAAAATTTGGTTTAGCTATGGTTCGAGTCGTTTTTATTCCAAAAACTATCCTTTAAGGAAATCAATTTAACCACGCAGAGGAAGTCGATGGCACCCAATTAGTACGAATATATTTTTATGCATAGAATAATAAATAGCTAAAGCCGCTTATTATATATCCACTAAAAATGTAAAGCTCACAGTAAAACTTATTGTTTACAGCTATGTTCTAATTACGTAATGGAAAGTGACTTCAGAATTAACTCTGAAGCTATTTTTGAACTGGCTAACTCTGTATATAATAATACAGGGAGAAAAATGCAGCATTTGCTGAGTTTCTTGCCGGTTCTTCTCAGTACAAAATCTCCCGTCGCTGTTTTGCGATTAATAAGTGATTTTAACAGCCTAGAATGAATAAATGATTTTTGATTTCTGATTTTGAAAAGAATATCCAGTGTTTTCAGGCCAATATGACCTAAAACCTTCAATGAATGAGTGTACTACCTCCTCCGCATCACATTTGTGATACTCCTGGTGTTGCCATGGGCGACAATGATCACTTACCATCAGGTGAGCTGTCAGCTCGTATACCCCCCATAATATGTACAAAAACCCTATCCGATGCAAAATCCAAAATTCTTTTCTTCTATTTCTAAATAAAATTAATATGATTTTTTTACAACATAGAACAAAATTCTATGTAGTAACAAAAACATATTCCGACGAACCAAAGAAATAAGAATTGGGGATTCTGTGTGTCATCCGGATAGATCTTGGTACATTCATACTAGCGTGGAATCGAAGCGCAGCGAATTCCAGAAACACCATTATCTCTACCACAGAACACAGAGAGAGGTCTTAGATTAAAACAAAAAGGGTAGATACGGCACTAGCCTCACAAAAGTGATCCGCGTGAATTGTGGTCCACGACCCTAATCGCTTTAATCGCAACTTGACATGCAAACCACGTACATGTGAACGCCAAAAAGAAATATTGCTAACATTTTGTGTTTATATCATATGATAAAACAATGCCTAAAGTGTGTTTTTAAAAATTGCTCAAATTGCTCAAGAACTAAAAATAAAACCCATGGCATCACTTTTCATTCGTAAGCACTATAAAATATATTTTTTCATAAAAATTGCTGTTTGTTTTGAATCTTATTCTTCTTTTTTTTTTATTCGGTAATAGGTAAGCGCTTGACCATAATTCGCCTGATGGAAAGCAATATTATGGTCTATGATGGAGCGCGCTTACCTAATAAAAACCGGTTCACTCTTGCTTTGAAGACCGCTAGATTGTAGTGCTCGGGGAACAAGGGCTCAGGCAAGGAATTCCACAGTTTGGCAGGCCGCACGATGAAGCTAGACGCGAATCGCTTAGTGCGAGTCTTTGGAACTGCCACCGTGAATCGAGGTCGCCTTGCCGTTTCCCTGCTCGTCCGGTAGTAGAAAGGGGCGGGAGGAATTCGCTCATGTAATTCCTCTGCGCACTCACCGAAATGCAACCGATAGAACACCGAAAGACTGGCAACTTTGCGTCGATGTTCCAGGCTTTGTAACTTTGCCCTGCAAAGCGCGTCATTTCCAATGAGCTTTATCGCTCGTTTCTCATTCATTTAGTTTATTCGGTAGTGACGTCGAGTACTGGTCGCGAGATTGGTCGGTAGTGCAGTGACGCGGATCTCGCCGTCTCGTTCGCGCTGCCGTTGAAACTTAACGCGCTGTTTCGGTCGGGTCGGTAATGCAGTGACGCGGATCTCGCCGTCCCGTTCGCGCTGCCGTGGGATCAGTTTTTGTTTGATGCAAGTATGAGCGTACCGTATCTACCCTTTTTGTTTTAATCTAAGAGAGAGGTCTTCAATATTATGTACGGCTAATTTGATTTCTGACAAAGCCTGTTGTTGCCCTGTAATGTTGTCTTTGTTAAAAGGATAACTTAAAAGGTGTGGATAAATGAAACACATAAATTGTTTATTCCTTTATACTTTTTATTTCGCATCATTATCATTCTTAAAATCTATATGTCATATGTATGTATTATAACTATCTTTTATGCTATAGGTAGGTACAGAGTATATCATAATATACTTATTAATAATATTTCCATCTCGTTTTAACTTCTTAAGAGAGAACAGTCAAAACTCAACATGCAACCAACAGATGTGCGAGGGAAAAAGCGCGTTTTCTAAATGCCGCCATCTTGGATTCGTATTAAAAAAAAGAAGGTTTATCGTTCTCAATGGCTGCCCATTTTTTGAAGAAAAAGAAATCATTTGCTCAAGGAATCAGCTACCCAATGACAAAAGGGTGTAAGTAACTTTTTTTTCAAAAACGTGCTCCTTCCAACGCTCTAACGGTAATATTTAACAGAATAAAAAAAAACATCATGACAAACAAGAAAGTATCAACAGACAGTCTTAAACATAACAAGTAAGCGCTCAAGACCTATAATAATGTATTCTTAATTCACTATGTCACTTTATAACTACATTTTTCACTAAATTTATGCGAGCTCCAATAAATAAATAATTTTGAAAGAAACAGTTATAGGGTAGTTTTTAAAACAACATAACAAACCTTTGCTAGCGGATGCGTACTGTACTTTTAAGACAATTCAGCTTTTTATCTTAAATACATCACAATAGTATGATATACATTACAATATAAATTAGCGTACCTTTCCTTAATAAAATATAAAAAAGAGGGAAGTTAAAATCACTAACATTTTCATGGTCATTTTCTATGTTTTAAATATGTAAGTTCGAGAATAATCACATAGAGATTCCAAACAAAAGCTCGGGGACATTTTTTTTTTCAATAAAAACAGACGTTGGTGTGCGTAAGTACCATACGAAACTCTTAGATTTAGTGAAGAAAAGAGAATCTACTGAGCTGTTAAACAAAAACGACTTATCTAGATCTACAACACCAAATGGACGGTAGAAAAAAGGAAGGGGTGAGAGAGGAGGGGCAGGGAGGGGAGGTGGCGTTAGGGATGTCATTAATAACGAAACAGTGCGACGGCACAACACTAATTGAAACCCTGTGTCCACTGAAGTGGCGGTACGCGGGAAGATGTGTCATTAACCCTCAATAGGCTTTTATCTCGACATCAGCTTGTATAACGTTGGGCTAATACCTAGCTATTGCTCTGTATATTATCTCCGTGCTTACTCATTGTGCACCTTCTACAATTGCATCAAGTGCTTTTATACAAGGTGTTACAAAAATACAAATAAAGGCGTTGAAGTACATCAAATAAGGATTCTTCTCTAATTTTCTTATATTATTTGCATGAACTTTTAACTTTTTATAAAAACAGTTATTTTTAATGATTCTCGAACTAGTGACGTGTCTTAAAATGATCGATATTTTTATTAATCATTAAAAATAACTGTTTTTATAAAAAGTTAAAACTTCATGCAAATATTTTAAGAAAATTAGAGAAGGCTCTTTATTTGATGTACTTTAACGCCCTTCAAGCTTTATTTGTATTTTTGTAACACCCTGTATATATTTTATTAGGATCATATTGTGTAAACAATAAACCGTGAGTACTGTGAACTTTGTTGCACTCATTTAACACCTGAGAAACTCACGCGTATTCCTACACAGTTTTATGTGTTTTTTATTTTTTCTTTGGAAAAAAAAAATGTTGACAAACAAACAAAAGTAAACACAAACAAATCGGCATCTTTGTATAGGAAAATTTTCACCATCACTTTTTATAAACGACCAGAGACAGCGCGGTTATCATTCTCCTTAGATTAATAGTCTACACATACCGAAGCACAAAATACTTGTCCTTCACTAAAGTAATGTACACAGCTAAAGAGTGGAATTTCTTGTCCAAGTCTGTTTACTTTCTTTAACGACTTAGTATTACTACTTTTGATATTGTGCTTTTCTTTTTGAAGCGAAAACTTCTTTAGCGGCTTTATACCCTTTGTTTGTATGTGTAAAAAATGTTTATCTCGCGTCAGGTTAAACACGTGGGCTGATCGCATCATGACACACAATAAAATTGGAAAGGTTGTTGACTTTCAATATATTGGACGAAACATAGTAATATTTTATTTTATCGTATTATAATAAGTTTCTATCTAGGACGTCTACGTGGCAGCTTTATTGCGTAGAAAATGCATTTTTTTTTACAATAGATGTCGCTAGGTGCGCTTAAATGTGATTCATGTAAGTTGATTTCTTTACAATAGATGTCGCTAAGTGCGCTTAAACGTGATTCATGTAAGTTGATTTTTCTGAGAGATAAACTTTTTTAATGTAATATAAATTGTCGTGTTTGTGTACGATAGCGCAATATATAAATATTGTATTCTACCACATACATGATAGTACTTTTATACTGATAATTAAAGCAATTCGTGCAAAATGATTCCCTAACCATTCCAAAATATCAAAAATGCACAACGTTAATATTCAAGTTTTAACTTCTACCGGCACTCCCGGAGAAACCCGTCGTTTTTTTTTCTATTCACCGCTTCAGTGGACATTGGGTCTTACTCACCGGGTTCCTCATTAAACTATGTCCATTCTTTTCTCTCCCATT